TTACTTTAGAAGAAGCATGCAAACCAATTGCCTTAAAATATATAAGCAATCATCATTATTTGAAGTAAAGTGGATAAAGTAATTGTGTGTTTGTACATACTCGCATATGTGTATATGGGTGTTTCTGCAAATACGGGCAATTTTAAGTCCCAGTAGTGAAATTTTAGGTTAATGTTAAAATTTGTCATATGATGCTTTTTAAATATATTCACAGTGTCATTACACACCTTGACAGAAAATATAATTAATGATTAATGTGATTTAATATAAAAATATGAAGCATTTATAGGTCCAAACACCATTTTTGTTCATGTCCCTCAATTCTGGTCAGTCACAATGTTGAGATACGTAAAATAAGCTAATTGATTTACAATTTGACATTATTTCAAAAGGAATTGTTCAATATACATATTAATTTACAGCATCTTAAATTGTTTTGTATTATTTACTGATCATTAAAACAATAAAAAAGGCTTTTATTATGACATTTTATCAAAGACAAACAAGTCTAGTTTCTATGGAAACAGAAATTAGCACGTGAGCACATTGCTGACAGATTGGGCCACCTCACTACTTCACTCATAAGATCCCAAAAATATAAGGTAAATATCATCTTTTCTGTGTCAGTATTTATTGTGTGTCCTAACCATATAGCTTAGTAATTCTGTACTTTGAACTACATTTAAAAAATAAATGTATACTGTTTAATTCATGTATATTAAGATGAGTTAAAACTAATGTAGTAGACCTTGCTAGCTGCAAAATAGCTGCAATATTAGCAAAAATGTCATTTCCGCAACATGTCTTTACCGCAGCAAATTTAGGTGTCTGCGGTAAAGACCTTGTGTTGCGGTAGAGACAAGTTCAAGGTTTACTGTATATTAAATTACAAATATTCAGTCTTATTAAAAATTATATTTAAACATGACATTTTGTAACCCTAGATGAGACCAAATTCATCAACAATAAGAACAGACCTAGAGAGGTATGCAGAGTATCTGCAGAAGGAAAAACAATGTTACAAAAAGAGAAAGTAAAATGGACAGATAAAGAGTGTCTCCCAGCTGACAAAAAGAGAGAAAAATCTGAAAAGGCGGCAGTGGAGGTTAAATAAAAGAAACCAGAGGGCAAAACACAAAGTACTGCATGCCTCAAATCAGTTTGTTGCAACAGACACACCACCACTACTATCCCCATCTGATGATTACTTACATGCTGCTCCACTAGAACCTTCACCTAATGTGACAGCAGCTCTTGAAGGGTTAGTTGAAGTTCACCCAAAAATGAAAATTCTGTCATTAATTACTCACCCTCATGTCGTTCCAAACCTGTAAGACCTTCGTTCATCTTCGGAACACAATTTAAGATATTTTTGATGAAATCTGAGAGCTCTCTGACCCTCCATAGACAGCAAGGATATTACCATGATCAAGGCACAGAAACGTAGCAAGGACATCGGTAAAATAGTCCATGTGACATCAGGGGTTCAACCGTAATTTTACGATCCCAGAACGTAATCAACGTAATCAGCGTTGTTTACGTTCAGTAGACAGCGCGCGCAGGGTGAACATAAACAGCGCTGATTATGTTCTGGGGTACTCTCCAAAATGGCGGAAGACGGTAAATTGGGGAGAAGAATTGTTGAATAAATTATGTTATTATTGTTTTCTTTGCGCACAAAAAGTATTCTCGTAGCTCCGTGAAATTCCGGTTGAACCCCTGAAGTCACATGGACTATTTTACCGATGTCCTTACTACATTTCTGTGCCTTGATCGTGGTAGTACCCTTGCTGTTTATGGGAGGGTCAGAAAGCACTCAGATTCCATCAAAAATATCTTAATTTGTGTTCTGAAGATGATGTCTTACGGGTTTGGAATGACATGAGGGTGAGTAATTAACGACATAATTTTCATTTTTGGGTGAACTAACCCTTTAAGAGTTTGCATAAAAAAGTTCAAAAAAAAGTCAATCAAAGATGTACTACGAACACAGAGATGCAAAGTACGAGCTGAAGAAGGCAGTGGCCTCAGTTGAAAAATACAGGAAGCGTTGTTTCAGGCTTTCAAAGAAACTGTGCCCAACAGATTCACCTGGAACCAAAGCTCGTAATGACAGTTCGAGTTCTTTACTGCAAAACTGCACAAAATTTGAAAAAGCTATTGAAATATATTACATTTTTATATAAATTAAAAAAGAAAAATGTATATAATGAACCTTACTGTAACGTTGCAGTAAGGACATTTTGTAAAAAGAAGAGTTGAAAAACATAAAAAATAAACATGTTCCAGATTAAAATCTTAATGCAATTTTGTTGACCTTTTTATATGTATTAGAGACTCTGATGGTTAAAATTTTAATTCACAGGGGTTGATTTTTTTTACATTTTGGAGAGTCAAAAGTGCCCGTAGTTGCAGAAACACCCATATATTGTACACATGATTGACTGGCAGACTGACTGTTTACCATAAACACAAGTTTCCTTACTGCATAGTTGATAGTCATAGATCTAAGACACACACTCATTTGACCACGACTTTATTGCTAGAATGATTACATGGTCATTTGATCATGCATACGCACACACATGCTCTTTACTGGTACTGTGGCCATATTTCCATATGTCCCTGTTTATAATGTGGGACATCTGCTCGAAACCCTCCTGTTCACTTTAGTTAAGCAGCCATCAATCACCCAGACAAAGAAAGAGAGAGTGTTTAAGCCACGTGTGTTTTTGTGCATAAGAAGGAAGACAGAATGTGCGGCTGTGTGTTTCTAATGACTGAGTGGCATTGTTGAGTGTTTATGTAAGTTTAATGAGACAGTGGCTGTATAGTGCTTTATTTTTAATAAGGTAAAGATGTTCAGTGGAGGCAGGCCATATATAACTATCTGTGTGTGTGTGTGTGTGTGTGTGTGTGTGGGAGAGGGAAAGAGGACAGATGCATTAAGCTGTTGTAGGAGGCATTAGCAGAGCACCACATGTGTCTTCTCAAGAGTACTGTCACAGGATTTTCATTCTATGCTGTCATTCCTCTGTTTTTACTGTTACACATTACACAGATATGGGCATATTCGAATATGTGGATGTTTAGACCACTTTTGACACTCAGTTTTTTATTTAATATGTCCAACAGTGTGTATTTTGGTAATACTTTAGTATAGGGATAACTTGTTGCTTATTTGCATGCCTATTATTAACATATTGGCTGTTTATTAGTACTTAAAAAGCACATATTCTGCATGACCATATTCTACATCCCTAATCTTACCCAATACCTAAACTTAACAACCACCTTACTAACTATTAATAAGCAGCAAATTAGGAGTTTGAGTCAAAAGTCATAGTTAAATGGTTTGTTAATAGCGAGAATTGGACCTTAAAATAAAGTGTGACCTATATTTTTCACTGCAATGTAATTTTCAACACATCTAGCATTTGTGAATACACACAATAATATTTTTAGACTTTTTGAATATTTGGCTAAATTACTTGCTTGATTGGAAATGATGCACAATAAAAAATATTCTGTAAGTGATATTTACTTACACAATAATTGTTGAAATGGTTCTTTTTTCATTTCACCCCGTTTAGGTCATTATAGTTATATGATTTATATTTAGTAATGGATTTCATAGTTTAAAATTGCAAGTCAAGAACAAGAATAAAACAAAATGGTACAGATGTGAAGCATTTAAATAAAAGCTGAAACAAATTATGAAATTTCAAGACACTTTTAATGTGACTTTCATATAAACAAAAAGTTTAAAAGTTAAACTCTGTAGGAGCATAAAAGTGCCTGAAGTTAAAGCTGCTTTTATTTGATTAGTTGGCCCCCAACCTTGAAGTGCAGACTGTCAGATGAAGACGAGCCAAATGAGAGCAAAGCGTGCAGCTCTCAAATCTTCAGTGAAAATTCCACAAAGTTTTTGCGTCTTGTTAAAACTTTTGGAAACTATTAATTGAGACATCTCTTCTCGCAGCAATAAATGATTCATGAGCAATCACAGAATTTCACAACCACTGCACATCTGTTATGATCAAAACATTCACACATACGCAGAAAGGCGCTCACGCACATATGGGGGAGAGAAATTTGAAACACACAAACAAAAACAACTCCAAAGCCTTTTAATAGATAGCTGCATTTTGCCAAACACCATAGTGAAATATGTTTTTTTTTTTTTTTTTTTTTTTTTTTGTCGGATGATTAACTGGTTGCATGGTCAAACACACACAACAATCAATAATCTCTATTAAATATTATGGATTTGTTTTTCAGTGTAATCGACTTCATTACACAGACATGATTCAGAGACCGGCTAGATTGTCAAGAGATATGACAGATCATCTGGGTTCAGCTCTATCAGTTTCTCTGGTTTTTTGAGCTGATTTGTTATTAATGAAAAATACTATGCTTAACTAACCTTAAAAATATTCCATCATTCTGTAGTTAAAAACAACATGACACCATTCACATCTCATTTAACGTTTGTCGCACAGAATATATTACATAAACCTGTCACTGGCCTACAGTCCACAGTCCTCATTTGGAGGTACAAACTGAGGTACAAAATCTGTAGAATTTTGTAATTGTTGGTCTATCCACACATGCAACTAGAAGTCTTTCGGACCATGAGTGTCGCATATGAAGTTAAAAGTAGGTCATCCTTGATGTTGTTCGAGATCTTTGCGTTCTGTTTTCTTCTTTTGCATTCTGTCTAGCTGCCTTTGAGCACAAGAACACATCCTGTGCTGAATGTACTCGGTTGGTTTGGAAAGAAGAAAGTACTTACTGTCTGATAAAACATTATGAAAATAAATTGCTTTTTTTGAATAATGTGCAAGGATGCATCTTGCAACATTTAATAAGAGCATAAACAGGGCCGATTTTGAGCTCCTGTTATTTTTGAATTGTAACACTGTGTACAACAAAAGTGACCTTTAGCTGTAACATTAACATTCTCTTTGCTTGCTCTGTGTGTGTCCTTCTTACTTTAGGTGTGCGCGTCAGAGAGAAGCTCCATGGCTAATGTGAGACACATCTTCAGCGAGTCTGTGCAGAGGTCATCAGGGTCATCGGCGGTCATGTGGTCCACACGCCTACTTTTCTTCTTCGCCCTCTTCACACCTGTCACGCTCGGTAATACGCGCACACACACACACACACACACACACACACAGACAAAAGCCAATTATTTCCTTGTTGTGTTGTTTTCGCCGAGATGGATAATTGAGATGTCTTACTGCTTTTATTTGATTAGTTGGCCCCCAACCTTGAAGTGCAGACTGTCAGATGAAGACGAGCCAAATGAGAGCAAAGCGTGCAGCTCTCAAATCTTCAGTGAAAATTCCACAAAGTTTTTGCGTCTTGTTAAAACTTTTGGAAACTATTAATTGAGACATCTCTTCTCGCAGCAATAAATGATTCATGAGCAATCACAGAATTTCACAACCACTGCACATCTGTTATGATCAAAACATTCACACATACGCAGAAAGGCGCTCACGCACATATGGGGGAGAGAAATTTGAAACACACAAACAAAAACAACTCCAAAGCCTTTTAATAGATAGCTGCATTTTGCCAAACACCATAGTGAAATATGAAATATAGCTGGATTATTTTCCAGTGAACGAGCCATTTTATGGGCCAATCCATAACTATAAAAATGGTGTGCGAACCTGTTAAAAGTGCGTCAGATAGAGTGCAGATGTAAGAGGATCTGACAGATCAATAATCATAGATGCAGACGTCTAGACTCTCTATGTGTGTGCGCCACATGCGAGCGCGACCCCGTGTGTGCGATTCGGTCCCTCAAGGGGACCTTAAGCGTAACGGTTTGAGCTCAGAGGACACTGGGGAATTGGCCATTGGGGGGACGTTTTAAAAACATCAAGGCAACGTTCAACACAAGCGCTCCCTCATCGACGTTCTCTGTATCTCTGTAATGCACACATTCATTCAGCCTCTCTCCTTTTTTCTCACTGTCATCGATTGCTTCTTTTCTCTGGCACTCACCTTCCACCAGTCTCAAGGGCGCTAAAACACAGTTCCACCTCGACAGGAGCCTTCCTGCCTGCACTCGATTCTACTTAAACCAATAACCTACATTATACCCATAAGCCATTTCAGTTCTATACATCAGCCCTGCCCACACACTCACGCACAGTCATTTCTGCTGGCCTTTGCTTTCTTTTAGAATCAGAATGGCTCTTATGTGTGTGTGTGTGTGTGTGTGTGTGTGTGCGTTGTTAAATCTCAATGGAAACGATTGCGATGGCGACGGTTAAATCCTGGATCCTGATTGGATGATGATGTGGCGTCTGTCAGTGTGTGTGCTAATCAGAGGAAGCAGCAGAATATGAAATTAACTCGTGCACACAGTCAAGTGTCATTCACATCCCTGAGATTAATTTCATAAGAGCGAGTGTGTGTAAGGGTGTCTGAATCTGTCTCTGTCTGTGTACGCATTAGAATGCAGTTTATTGTGTCTGTGTTTGTCTATGGCTATACGTCATGCGGGGAAAGGAGTGTGTTGCTACGGTAACAGGAAAGGGGTGGCGGTAAAGAATGTAATTTTTGATTTAAGTGACTGTGCGTGTGTGTGTAATTTAAAGAAAGGTTATTACTGAGGACATGATAACTAGATAGATGTGACTTTTGGGTGCAGATATGAGATCTTTCTATTGTATAATGAAGAATAGTTTTGCTCCCAATAACTATTCTTTTTGCTACATGCCGTCTCTCTCTAACACACTCAAAAACTGGATTATTTTATGTTTGAGAGAGAGAGTGCGTGAATGAAAGATGAAGAACGCTCTGTTTGTGTTTAAATTGGTTTCATAGTTTGTTCAACGTAATAATTTCTCTCTCTTTTTTTCGCAGTTTTAAGTCGTGCTCCAGTGCCGATGGCTGTGGTGCGTCGAGAGCTGTCATGTGAGGGTTATCCTATCGAGCTGCGCTGCCCGGGCACCGATGTCATTATGATCGAGAGTGCCAATTATGGGCGCACAGATGACAAGATCTGTGACTCGGACCCCGCTCAAATGGAGAACACTCGCTGCTATCTGCCTGATGCCTACAAGATTATGGGCCTCAGGTAGAGAGATACATTCACATGCATTGTGCTTTATTGTTGTCTCACAGGTTGTATGAATGTGTGTGTCTTTGTGTGTGTGTGTGTGTCAGTGCATGGCTACGTACACACTGCAGCTAAATGAGTCATTCCATCAAGGAGGACCATTTGTGTCCGCAACATCTGGTGAAATTATAAACCTACTGTAATAAAAAATATTTTAATGTGATGAATGTTTAAATATTTTAAAAAATGATGTACATTTTTATTTGCGTGTAGACAGTCATGGAAAATAAATTCTCAGTTAATTGTATTAAAATTTTATTTTTCTAAAAAAATGAATTACAGATTAACACATATAAAAACTTTGCTGCGATAAACTGTGTATTGGTTTGCCCATTCATACTGGATCAGTCACATTTATATCAACACATTAATTTAAATTATAACAGGCTTTAATTTCATTGAATTTAAATGTGTCCATGAATTTTGATGCCTTTTGCCACACTTCTTGTTTAAAAATAATAGGGAGGTAAATAATATTGTTTTATATTATTTAATATTAAATGGCACAATGAAGAGGAAATTATAACATTTAAGTTTTAAAAGGAGACAGTGCCTGCTCTCAACATTCTTACATAATTCGTTTATTCAAGCTCGATAAGATTTCTCAAGCAGAAGGAATTTATGTAATTTGTTCTATTTATAGAAAATAATCATGTTGTTGGCTACTGAATACTAATGATAGGAGGCCATAGGCCGTGTTACTGTTAAGTAAAAGTAAAACTATTAAAATGTTTTAATATTAGAAATGAGAAAAAAAAACAACTTAAACTTAAAAAACCTAAATGAAAAATTAGAAATGTTGTATTTGCAATTAACTGAAATAAAAAAGAAATGTTAAAAATGAAAATGCTAAATTATGAAAAACTAAAACTTAAAAATAAATGAAATAGAAATATAAAAAACTAATAAAAATGACAAAAGCACATAACAAAATTACTAAATCCTTAACTAAAATTAAAATGAAAGCTGAAAATATGAAAATGAAAGTTAATTCAAAATATTAAAAAATACTAATATTAGAAAATAGTATATGAATAATACCAAAATAATACTGCACATAAAAAATTCTTAAAATTAAAAAAAAAACA